GCCTCCACCAGCTTCTAGTTTAAACTCAGAGTTCTGCTGCTTTTCCTCCAGAATGAGGCTTCATTTCCTGGAAATGAGCTCTAATCCAGCACCAAGAAATGAAGGAAACTTTGGGCTTTTTGTCCCAGAAATGACAGAATAAATAAATATCCGAATGAACTGAACCTTGATTAATTAAAACCTTTTCCAAGGGATGTTTTCAGCTTTAGTTTTGTAATTCGGGTCAGTTTGACCTGTTTCTAATGAGTCCTGACTTTTGTTTTCTTCCATCTAACTGCCTAAAAGGACACAAACGGCTCCATTTAATGAGCTTTTTCTGGATCAAACATCAACACCTGAGCCTCTGATCAAACTAGAGTCCAGAGAACTCAGAGTTCTGCTGCTTTTCCTTCAGAATGAGGCTTCATTTCCTGGAAATGAGCTCTGATCCAGCACCCAGAAATGAAGGAAACTTTGTGCTGATGAGCTGAAACCAGTCGTCTAAAAGCTGGAACTCAGAGCTGTGGATCATTTTAGACTTCCTGCTTTAGAAAACAGCCACTCTGAGCTGGAGGACAACAGCTGGACTGTTTGCTGCCATTCAAAAGCCCTGAAATGCTTCAGATCAGCATCTTGATCAGCTCTGACAGAAGCAGGTTTTCCATCCAGCTGTGAGCCTCCGATCACAACCAGAGGGAACTACTCCCACTTTCTGCTTTCTGCCTCCAGAACCAGCTCTGATTTCCACTAAATGAGCTCTGTTCCAGCAGATGTTACAGACAGAAGTGGAAACATGAGTTCAGGAGCTGATACAGCTTCACTGAGAAGCACAAACTCAATATTTGGGGGACATTTTACACTTTTTGCTTCAGTCAAACAGACCTGAGAGGACAATAAAAGGCTTTAAAACACATTAAAGTGTCTCTTTGATCAGTTTAGAAATAATTATCTTAAAAATTAAAGTCAATTTTACACTCAAATAATGAAAGTTTGTTAGTTTTTCAGCAAAAAGATGAAATAATCTTCACAAATTAATTTGGGAATCAGATAAATCCCTAAAATAAATAAAAATAAATCACAATATCTCTAATTTAAACGTTAAATTACTGCTTTTCTCCTCAAGAACCAGCTCTGATTTCCACAATATGATCAAGAGAGGTGGTCCGGGTTCTGGGTTCTGGGTCTGGGTTCTGTGTCCAGGTTCTGTGTCCAGGTCCAGGCTCTGGGTTCTGCGTCCAGGTCCAGGCTCTGGGTTCTGGGTCTGAGTTCTATGTCCAGGTT